CTTATTCGAAAAGAGTCCCATCTGTGAGGGTCATCTGACCCCTTGGACACAGTCCCAATGCCTGGCTGAGAGGGGCTCCCTTAGTCCCGTGTTTACTGAGGCCAGCTCTGTGGTTGGCAGGTTGTGCAATTCTTTTGGGAATGCCAGTGCTTAAGCCCTGGAGCTTTCAGTCTCTTCTGTGCTAGGCTTTGTGAGGATAGAGGGGAACAAAGGCAGCCCATGCCCTTGGGTACATAACAAATGTGTAGAAGAGTCCAAGTGTGATGGTGGCTTCTGCATGGGGACCATGGGGCTCTAAGCACAAGATGGAGGCTGTGTCTCCCCTGTGAAGTGACTCTTGGGCCTGAGCTGACTAGAGTGTTCTGTGCCCCCTCTGCACACTGACATTCTGTGCACAGTGGGCATTTTATGACTGTGGGGCACACTGGGAGAGCAAAGGCTAGTTGGGGTGAGCGTAGAGTGTGGCTGGCACACAGGTGTGGCTGACTGATGCAGTTACTGGGGGCTCCTGGGGATAGGTTGTAATTAAATGCTGGGTGTAGGAGTTTGGACTTAACTCATCAGCCGAGGGTGGTATGAGAAGGATTCCTAGCCTGACACAGTGTGAGCCTCTTCCACTGAGTCCTAGGAAGAAGGAAAGACCAAGAGAAAGGGAACCCTGACCTGATGCAGTTCCCTGTGGCCTAGGAAGCCTCAATCCCTGAGGTCAGAGCACTCTAAAAAGGAGGGGGCCCTCAACTCACCACTTCCTGCCAGCTGCCTTAGCAACAGGGGCATGTTTATAGCCAGTCCCCAGGTGACTCTGCTGTGGGTGGTCTGAACTGTGACTCAGAGGGCAAGTTTGGGTCCTCTCTTGCTAGTGCGCGTCTCACCTTGTGTTCTTTTGAGGAACACAATCCACAGAAATGGTTTATTTCCTCACCCATTCCCATCTGCTGCTGCTGCTCACTTGCTCCTATGGCTTCCAGTGGAGAATGGAAAAGTGTCTCTTTCACTAGCAACCACCTGAGCTCATTGTCACCAGTGTCATTGTCCACTGGGGAGAGGACAGTAGTCGTTCGTTAACAGGGGGCAGTGGCACCAGCTCCACTGACATGAGAGGCACAGAAGAGGATGTTTGTCCCGCCTGCCTGCCCTTGTTGCTATGGTCCTGTGGTCTGTGGTCCACTCTCCTGTGGCCCTGTATTCTGCAGCTCAGCCAACCGAAGCTGTAGGTCATGCCATTGTTGATTCTGGGGCTGCAGCCACATCCAGCTCCACCCCAAAGAGCTTAAATGAAAGTGGAAAGAACATTTTCAGGTACCCTGAACATTTTATTTTGTGAGGGACATTTTAACACTGTCAGATTGTTACACTATGCAAATCTATTACAGGCATGCCTTGGCATGGGATTGGAGCCTTGGTTTCAAGACCCCTGACAGATATCCAAATCTGTAGATCCTCAAGTCCCTTACATGAAATGTCATAGCACCTCCCCATACACTTTTAATCGCCTCTGCATTATACATGCCCAATACAGTAGATATGCTGCATAAATAGTGACAGCCTGAAGATGACCTTGAACTTCTGATCTTCCTGCCTCTACATCCCCAGTACTGGAATTACAGGCATTCGTCACTACATCCAGTTTACGGGTGCTGGAGGTTTAGTGCATACTGAGCAAGCACTCTACCAACCAAGCTACAGAGCCAGCCCCAAATAATTGTTTCACATGCAGAAATGTTTTTATCAATATAGCATATACAAACTATAAAAGAACGTATGCTTTAATATGTGCATTGTGATACAGGGGTGGAAATTCAACATCCAGGGCTGAGAGAAGGCTGGGAGAAGAGTGCAGCAGGTTATATTCCCAGTGCAGCAGTCCTCCTCGCTGAGATCAGCATCTGGCCATGCAGTCTCGAGCACTGGAGGGGAAGAGCCTTTCCCCTTCCAGACAGGTGTCATCAGAAGCCGCAGGGGAGCTTTAGGTTTCCCACTGATCTTTTTCACCGTGAAAGTTAGTTGGTTTTGTTTGAGGGACTGTCGGTCTTCTCCGGCTTTTCTCTAGTACTGTTGACAGTCCCCAGCGCCTACCTGCCAGCTTCAGGTAAGGCTGGTGAAACACTGACCATTTTTGATAATCATGTTAAACCTGTGATTTCCCACTTAAGGCCTTTAGCTCGTCCTTAGGAACCACATGAGCTGTCCTTAGCAACAAAGATCAGAGCAGCCACTGTAGATCTCCAAGAACCCTACCTCAAATAAATTTTCAAATATTTACAACCTATGGTTGGTTGAATCTGTAAATGTGGATCTCAAGGCTAAGGAGGGTTGACTGTGCATGTGTGCGTGCGTGCGTGTGTGTGTGTGTGTGTGTGTGTGTGTGTGTGTGTGTGATAGAAAACAGACACAGGCAATCAAGGGATCCACCCCAGGCTGGGACAGTCATGGATACCTGCCTTCCTGGAACAGCAGCCCTATTCCTTTGCTGTGTAGGTCTGGTATTTTTCCATGTATAGTATATGGAAAATAAACAGATGGTTTGTTAACCGCCCTGCTTTGGTTTTGTTTCTATGTATGTATGTGTATATGTATGTGTGCAAGAGGGTTTTGCTATGTACCCCAGGTTTGCTTGAACTTGTGACCCTGCTGCCTTGGCCTCCCCAGTTCAGGGATTACTGGTGTGCACCATTGCACCCAGCCAGTTAACTGGTTGCTATGTGTATTTTTTCCCCTTTCTTCCCCCAACATTTGAATTATATATTCACACCTCCATCTCCCCATTCCTAACATTTTTGTCAAGTTCCCCAATTCTATACTTTTTCTTGCAATAAATTCCCACCTGACCCTGTAAAAGAGGGTTACCCCTTTTTAATTTTGATCCATTTCTGAAAGCATATTCTCAGCCCAGCTTTGACAGATTTATATCCTTCCTGCCTGCAGAGAAGCCTGTACTTCCCCCACACTTTGGGGCAGTCCTAAATGTCAACATCAGCTTTCAGTGACTGCAAAGGGTCCAGCAGCAGCCCTGGCCTTTAGCCACATGCAAATCAACACAGCCACATAACCCACATTCTTGTTAACACCCTTTTTTTGTCACAGCCTAGAGTTCAAGATCTTGTAGAGCTGAAAATAAGGAAA